AAAAAGTTAGGTTAGGTTAGGTTAGGTAGGTTAGGTTGTCGAAAAACAATTAATTCATGAAAACTTGGCTTATTAGGCAAATTTGGCCTTGCATAGTAAGCTGATAATTGCGTTCTGGCTACTAGGTACGACATATATATATATATATATATATATATATATATATATATATATATATATATGATATATATATATATATATATATATATATATATATATATATATATATGTCGTACCTAGTAGCCAGAACGCACTTCTCAGCCTACTATGCAAGGCCCGATTTGCCTAATAAGCCAAGTTTTCCTGAATTAATATATTTTCTCTAATTTTTTTTCTATGAAATGATAAAGCTACCCATTTCATTATGTATGAGGTCAATTTTTTTTATTGAAGTTAAAATTAACGTAGATATATGACCGAACCTAACCAACCCTACCTAACCTAACCTAACCTATCTTTATAGGTTAGGTTAGGTTAGGTATCCGAAAAAGTTAGGTTAGGTTAGGTTAGGTATGTTAGGTAGTCGAAACACAATTAATTCAGGAAAACTTGGCTTATTAGGCAAATCGGGCCTTGCATATTAGGCCCAGAAGTGCGTTCTGGCTACTAGGTACGACATATATATATATATATATATATATATATATATATATATATATATATATATATATATATATATATATATATATATATATATATATATATGTCGTACCTAGTAGCCAGAACTCACTTCTCAGCCTACTATTCAAGGCCCGATTTGCCTAATAAGCCAAGTTTTCCTGAATTAATATATTTACTATAATTTTTTTCTTATGAAATGATAAAGCAACCCTTTCTCTATGTATGAGGTCAATTTTTTTTTATTGGAGTTAAAATTAACGTAGATATATGACCGAACCTAACCAACCCTACCTAACCTAACCTAACCTATATTTATAGGTAAGGTTAGGTTAGGTAGCATAGGTTAGGTTAGGTTAGGTAGGTTAGGTAGACGAAAAAACATATTCATGAAAACTTGGCTTATTAGGCAAATCGGGCCTTGATAGTAGGCTGAGAAGTGCGTTCTGGCTATTAGGTACGACATATATATATATATATATATATATATATATATATATATATATATATATACATATATAAATATTGTCATACATATTGACAAACATATTGTCTTGTTTAGACGTTACTGCAATATTGATGAACTGTGTCGACTCACAACCTAGGAATTCAAGTTTAGTTTCTTACTCCTAATGCATCTGTTTGCCCTGGGGATGTCAGTTGATGACCTGACGACGATCGTAATAAGCCTTATTTCAGACTTCCTGAAATAAAAGTTTATTTAGCAATATGTTTTAAGAATTAACGAAGAAACCAACTGCGATTATCATGAGATTGTATTCCGTGATTGTATCTCCTTACTGTATCACATAAACACATCCTATGATTGTCACCCATTATTGTATCCCATAAATATATCCCATGACTGTATCAAATGAGTAAGACCAAAATTGTCAAATTCATATTAATAATAAAATCACAATGCAATTGTATTTTTTAAATGAAGTTAAAATATTTTGTTAACATCCACATCTTTTTAAATTTTAATGTCAATTTAAATGGTAAAAATATGCCTAAATCTTATTTTTTTTCAAAAAATCACTGATTTCAATAAGATTTTTTATATTTTTTTTACCTAAAAATCACCGATTTTAATAATATTTTATATATTTTTTTACCGAAAAATCGCCGATTTTAGAAAGATTTCATATATTTTTGACCTAAAAATCACCAATTTTAGTGAGAATTTTTATATATTTTAAACTATAGATCACCGACTTTAATAAGATTTTATACATATTCGACCTCCCCCCCTCCATATACCGAGTTTTCTTGAGCCAAGAGTTAATTGGCTGGTTAAAGAAACACTGTTGCTTTAAGTAACAATTTATTACATGATAAATGTACAGAAGGTAGACATATGAAGAGTACTGACTCAGGAGGCCAGCCGAAGTTCACTCCAATACATAGAATACATTACACTTATCATTGTATATATAAGTATGCACCAGTATGTATTGGATGTGTGAGTATACAACAGCATACAACAGTATACAACAGTATATTACATTATCTGTATTAATTCCCTTCAAGACTAAGCCCTTCACACACAAACAATCAGAAACGACCACATTGAAGTAACCTAACGACTCTGGTTATCAAAACAAGCACTCACGTATGTACTCAAAATATGTTTTAGCGATATGTACTTTCCACGTCAAGGGTCATCACCTCTTACGAAACATCTACATCTTTCGACTAGCAAGAGTGTCTTGTTTACGTGTCTTAAACAAGTTCTTAGAGCCCCGAGCCTCTACGGGGGTTTGTTTATACTTATAATAACCTCAGATTGAGAAGTGTTGACCCCCTAAGTCGATATCATTTATAACAGATGTAGTGATTTTGTAGTGGATATGTAGAGTATTGATGACTCCTTTGCCCCTGGAAGATTAGTGTCTATTATTGACCTGATAATGGTCAATGGTCCCTACTGTAACGAGTGGATAGTGACCACTGTAGTTCAGGGAAGGTCAATTCCTTTGGTCAACCAGGGATTGGTGACCATGGGGGTGTGAGGGAGGGGTCATAACAACATGTCATCTGGCGAATAGTGTACAGAATCGTTGCCCCAGATTATCCCGAGGATTGGTGACCCCTACGGGACAGGAGAGGTCAATACTGTCCAGCATTATAAGGGTGAGGTTGTGAGGGGTTTTACAACACGTCAGCAGGAGATTGTTGACCCCTATGGGTCAGAAAAGATCAATACTGCCTAGCACTGTAAGGGTGAGGTTGTGAGGGGTTATTACAACAGGTCAGCAGGGGATTGTTGACCCCCTACGTGTCAGGAGAGGTCAATACTACCCAGCACTGTAAGGGTGAGGTTGTGAGGGGTTATTACAACACGTCAGCAGGAGATTGATGACCGCTGTGGGTAAGAAGGGCTCGACTGAGAACTGCTTCCATACTTGCGGTCCGGCCTTTGAGGAGCCAAGCCGCAGACGCAGCCGCCCACACGCTGCAGGCTAGGCCTAGAGCCAGCAGCGGCAGGTGCAGGAGCAGCAGGATATTGGCAAGGATGGCTATGAGCGGCAGGATAGGCGCGGTTGTGGTGGCGGTTGTGAGCGGCGGGTGGCGCGGTTGTAGCCACAACCCCACACAACAAACAGCACACCCACAGACGCAGAGCCCCACGCCCGCCCACGCCCACAGACCTATATCCAGCTCCCTAGAGCCTCGAAGCACGCCCACGCCCGCGACGCAGTTGACTATGAAGGTGGCCAATAGGAACCTTGCGGTCCGCCAGGACGCCCACGTGGGCGGCGTGGGCGGCTCTGTGATAGCTGAGGCCCAGGACCCGGCCGCCCACTCTACGGTCACGTGACGGGGCTCAATATCGTCGCATGCGGCGAGGCTGCTACTGCGGGAGAGTGTTGTAGGCGGCGTGTCGCACGCCGCATTGGGAGAATCTGGCCGATACCTGCGGGCCAAGACTGCCGCAGCCCCCGCCACGCCCGCACCAACGCTCCCCGCACCTGCGGCCCGCAGAAGAACCCACGACGAGCAAATTGCGGCAATAACCGCAGCTGCGGCGCCGCAGAAGAGTGCAGCCAGCCAGGGCGTCCTTGTGTGTCGCGAGACGTGGCCAAGACACCTGGGGGCCAGCCCGTCGCTGGCCAGCCTGTGGGCCAGGCGGGAACCGGTCAAAAGCCCGCCCAAAATCCCCGCCCACAGCCCCACCACGGCGCCTACGCCCACCACCGCCCGCATGCCCAGCAGAGACGCCCCTGGAAACAGCTGAAGGAGTGGCGCGGTGGAGGAGAGGCTGGAGGATGCCAGAGTGACAGCAACAGCCGCTGGGAACAGCACCAGAAGCGCCGCTACGCCCACGCCCACGCCCACACAGGTGTGGGAGTACCGCTCACACTCGCCACCCAGCAGGCCGGCGTGGTGGGCACCGCCCATGCTTGCGCTAAACATAGCAGCACCGCCCATAACCTGTAAGGGAAACACTCCGTTATTCCGCTAAACATAGCAGCCCCGCCCATCACCTTTAAGGAAAACACTCTGTTATTCCGCTAAACATAGCAGCGCTGCATATAACCTGTAAGGAAAACACTCTGTTATTCCGCTAAACATAGCAGCGCCGCATATAACCTGTAAGGAAAACACTCTGTTATTCCGCTAAACATAGCAGCGCTGCATATAACCTGTAAGGAAAACATTCTGTTATTCCACTAAACATAGCAATGCGCACATAACTTGTAAGGAAAACACTCTGTTATTCTGCTAAACACAGCAGCGCCTGCCATAACCTGTAAAGGAAACACTCTGTTATTCCGCTAAACATAGCAGCGCCTGCCATAACCTGTAAAGGAAACACTCTGTTATTCCGCTAAACATAGCAGCGCCGGCCATAACCTGTAAGGGAAACACTCTGTTATTCCGCTCAACAAAGCGGCGCCGCCCATAACCTGTAAGAGAAACACTCTGTTATTCCGCTAAACATAGCAGCACTGCCCATAACCGGTAAAGGAAACACTCTGTTATTCCAATCTATCTGGCCTGGTTGGTAGAGCGGCTTGGATATCGTAGGGTTGAGGTTCTATCCCATCTATCCATGGTTCAATCGAGGGACTATCCATGCTGTGGACAAGATCTTATAGCCTAGCCCCTATCCTGCCCATATACACCAGCTCCTATTCTTCCCTCATTCTCCAGTTCCTATCCTACTCTTATGTTAATACTCAAATTGTATGATGGTTGAAACATAACCAATCACAGGCGAGTAGGCCTCTGACGTCATGCCAGACAGAGCCACCAGCCGTGCTTCCAGCAGGCCTCAGTATTCTCACAGACCCAGAGCAGGTTGGACCTCGGCTAACCAGTTATACACCTTGTTGCCTCACTCAATAAAAACTACTGAAGTGTCTACTGTGTATAATTACAACCAACAAACATCCAAGAAGGCAACAAATACTAGTAGCAGCGGTGTGATTCAGAATTAATTTTCTGAGCTACGAAATCTCAAGTGCCCACATCACGTGTGTCCAGCGCCTCCTGCCATCCACGCATCGATATCCAATGATATTGTACCAGTCCGGGGTCCTACCATCAACCACTACTTGAGGTCAACGTCTCAGAAGTAAGGCCAATATTTTCCTGTGCGAACGCTAATTCATCAGTGAGGAGAAAGGAAGATTCCCGCGCCAGCCATTTTGAATCTCGCACCACCTGGGAACCTTCACCACCCACCCACAGCCACCCAAGCCGACAGCATCAAGCTTTGTGAGTGTTATAGCTACTGAAATCGTGGTCAGTCATTGTCGCAAGTATCAACTGACCATCGTATGTGTTGTACTGTTATTTGAGAATAATTGATGGACTGCAATTGTTAGACTAAGTGTCGCCACCAACATACACATACATTGCCTTGTCGCCTCCTCTCACCATCGCTGCAGCCCTCTGCTACACCATTCTACAGTGAACTTCTGTCTACACGCTTCTATAGCAACTGGCCTTCACTCGCCAATAGACGATATAATTATTGTCACGCCCTCAAAAGCACACACATTCCTAGTGTGGGGTCCCTCGAGCTTCGCACCACTGCCGTTAGGAGTGTTGCCTGTCGCCTCAGATGTAAACAAACCCTCGCATGTGCCTCTTCAGATCTTCACGACGTTCCTCCTATTTTGACTACTGGTGATTTTCATGAATTGCACCCCTGAGATAAGTAATTGACAGTTGAGAACAATGTGCCAAGTTCTAAAAAGTGATTTACATAATAATATCCATAATATCCTGTGAATTAACCATTCAATGACTTGTTAAATATTGGAGCTGGTTCAGTACTCCATTTCCACAGTTTACCTGAGTGATTTCAATATTTCCTGCATTTCAGTGATTCCATTATTCATTAATTTTTTTTTTTTTTTTTTTTGAGATATATACAAGAGTTGTTACATTCTTGTACAGCCACTAGTACGCGTAGCGTTTCGGGCAAGTCCTTAATCCTATGGTCCCTGGAATACGATCCCCTGCCGCGAAGAATCATTTTTTCATCCAAGTACACATTTTACTGTTGTGTTAAACAGAGGCTACAGTTAAGGAATTGCGCCCAGTAAATCCTCCCCGGCCAGGATACGAACCCATGACATAGCGCTCGCGGAACGCCAGGCGAGTGTCTTACCACTACACCACGGAGACTGTTGTGTTACTAGTGTTATTAGTGAATTCAAAAGTGAGAGAAGTAAGAAATAATTGTTTCTAGCAGTTTATTTTGCACAATAGAAATTTGTTTTTGAGATTTCCACAGATAATAGAACATAGATTTTTTTTTTTTATTTCTCCAGACCTAACTTTGAAATTTATCCTTTCAGCATTTTATTTTAAACTTTTACCATAGCATGTTACACATGTGCCTGTGTCCTATTTGTTTTTGCTAAATCCATTTTTCTTCCATTGCCACTTGTTGTGTTGAATCATTTTAATGAAATTTTGCAATTGCACTTTCCAGTTTTTATTCTAAATTGCTGTGCTTAGCCTGGTTTAGTTAATTTACATGCTTCTAATTCCAGCCATATTCATACCAGATTGCTAATTTAGTTCATAATTTTGCTTGTTCTTAATTATTTGTTGCGTAGTACAATTTAATAATTTTAATTCTGCCATTTCCTTACCTTAGCCAAGTTAGATATATTTTTTTTGAGTGTTTTAATTTTTTTGTGTACTCTTTTCTTTATGCCTAGTGTACTTAATTATAATTTGCGATCAACTGCCACTTCCTCGGTAGTGACAATGCCTACCACTGTTGAAACCCCTTCAGACTCAACTGGAACAGTTGCTCGTCCCAATGTCCAGAGATCAGCTCAGGAAATGGCTATCCCACCTTTTGCTGGTAAATCCCGCTTATTAGAGTCATGGTTTAGTAAGGTTGAAGCGAAAACAATCACACGTTTTTCTGAGCCTACTGATGCCGAATACTTGGCAATTGCAAGGTCAGCTGTGGACACAACCAAAGGTGATGCATGTTTTGTTGTTGATGAGAAAGCCAGTGTTAGCCTCCAGTCTTGGTCTGAATTTAAGGATTTCTTTCGCTGGCGCTTTGTTAACAAAGGAGACCTAGACCCGTATAGGTTAGTCAAGAAAATTGCCAATGCCACCATGCAGCCTGGTGAATCTTTTAATGTGGTTACTAGCCGTCTTGATCAATATCTGTATGCCTTAGTGTCTCCTATGATTAGTTAGTCTTGGGTAGATAAAGACAATAATCTGTCCCCTGAGGCTATGGCCAAAATGATAGCATTTCGAACTTTAATGCACTTTGCCCCATAGCATACTAAACCGATCATTGAACAACAAAATTTTGGAGTTAAACATGAAATTGGTGAAGTGTTTGAGGCTATTAACAATGCCGCCGGTAAACTAGCTCCGCGAAGTGCTGAACTGTTGCCATCCTCTGATACTGTAAATGTAGTAACAAGCTCTCAGCATCCTCCCACAAACTCTCAAAACTCTTGGTCGCAGAACCGTACCCATGGTCGTAGCCCCCAGTCAAATTCGCCTCCTCATAAGTTGCCGAGACGCCATAGTCCACAACCATCCACTCCCTCATGTTGGCATTGTGGTAAGAGTAACCACCTCGCAAGGGACTGTTGGTCCGCCCCTAGATCATCACCTAGACAATTCTCTCGGTCCCCTCGTCAATCTAATCATTCTAGGCTCCCATATTGCAAGTACCATAAACAAGTTAGTCACCACACTGTGGATTGTAGAGCTAGGCAAAGGACATCCCCACCTTGTAACTCCCACGGTCAGTCTTGGCGAGGCGCACAGCATCCAAGACATTATCAGAACTCACGTAATTACAATTCCCAGCCCAGTTATAATGCAACTTCGAATTATAATACTTGGTCAAAGAATGCTGGAGTTCAGAATGTTCACTCCATGTCGTCGGGAAACCCCCAAGGCTATCCGCTAACCAATTCCAGCTAGCCAATCCTAGTGCCCTCCCTGTGTATTCAGTAGCTACCCAAAATAGATTTGGATATTTGACAGAGGATGACACTGACTCTAGCCCAGTTGTAGATGTTGACGGAACCACAGTGAATTTGACCCAGACGAGACGCAGATATCCTAGACAACATAAGTCATAAGTAGTAACTTGTCCAGTCTCAGGTGATGGTCCCCTTGTCTCAGCCATTGTACATGGTAGAGTTTTAAAAGTTTTCTTGACTCAGGTGCAAAAATTAATATTGTCAAGCCCTCAGCTTTTAGAGACATTGCAAGTAAGCACCTTACTACAGTAAAACGGTCACCCATACCTTTCCTAAGTGGTGTTTCAGGAAATAAAGTAAAAGTTCAGGGTGAAATTGACCTCCCACTCAAGTTAGATGACGTCACATTGTCTATAACATGTTTAGTTGTTGAGAATATCCATTTTCCTGGAGACATTCTCCTAGATCTGTACACCATGATTGATGAGAATATCACATTGTTTCCCCATCGTTGGAACATTAGTACCAAAGACCACGTCAAACCCTTGTGTAGCATGTATCGACAGGGTCGTGAGTTCAACCTTCAATCAGACTACGTTAATTTTATTGACACCCGCCTTGCTAGCGTAGGTTTGTCAGATCATTGTCGTGGTAGCATACCCGAGAAAACAGGCACTCGATTGAAGCATCGTAGTTGTGCAGTTGTTAAGGAGAATGAGTATCGGGACTTTATGGAAGGGGACGCCCTAACGGATTCTCGTTGTCTCGCTCGCCTAGCAGCTTCCATCTCTGAAGTCAGTGGTTCCACGGCTACTGACACTGTGCTGCACTCTAATTCTCTCACCAGAATAAGAGTTAAGGTTCTGGGAGTGCCTGAGTTGTCGGATGTGATTGTGGAAAGTGGAACATGTAAAGTGAATGGTACGTTTGTTGAACCCTCCTGGCACACAGTGCAGGATGGTACTGTTA